TCAGAGCCTAACCCTAGTCGCGAGTGTGTCGACGAGGACGTCGGGCCCCTAAGGGGGTTGACTGTGACATCCCACATCGCCCAGGGGAGTGATCCTCATATTTATATTCCCATCCCTACATAGCACGAGGCCTTTTGGGAGTTCACTGGCTTTGGGTTCCATGGGAACTTCGAAGTTAAGCGAGTAGCGCGCGAGAGCACTCCCAGGATGGGTGACCCATCGGGAAGTTCTCGTGTGAGTTCCCAGAAACAAAACCGTGAGGGCGTGGTCGGGGCCCAAAGCGGACAATATCGTGCTACGATGGTGAAGTGGGCCCGAGAAGTGGTCTCGCCCGGGCCGGGATGTGACACATTTCAATTCAATCATATTGAATTTCTAGAGACTAATATAAAGAATGAGAAATAACCATAATGACAATAGTTACAATAATGAAGAAATAAGTTACAAATATTTTTGTATAAAATAAAGTTATAAATAATTTTGATATATTGAAAATTTTGATATATAATTGAATTTAAGAAAGGGATATGATTCCATAAAAAAAATAGCAATAAATAAATTAATATTATTGACTGCATTTTTTATACCTAAAAATGAATTTAAAAAATACTTAAATTAAGAATATAACTAGAATAAAGGTTTTAATCTAAAATTAGAAAGCAACAAATGTTTAATCTAGAAAAATCTAAAATAAGGAATCTGATTCTATTTTTTTTTTTTTTTTTGGGATAGTGATAACAACGGTAACAACAGTAACCAATAACTTGTCAAACATAAGGAATGCCAATGGGAGCAATTGCCCTAGAGAAATTGCCAGGGAGATCAAACCTCTGTTAACTAAGAAGACAAGTTTCACAAGGAGGATGCAGGAAGAGGGTGGGCGTAGGCTTTTTACGCACAGCAGACTGAACTTGTTTTAGCTTCAAAATCTCGATAAAATAAGTTAATGAGATGACCAACATTCGCTCCGGTCCATGTCATCCATTGTTGTGGGACACAAAAATGGGAATAAGACTGGAAGTAAGGAACCCTAGGCTTGAAAAAAAACTTCAACCTTCACTCTACCTCCAAGATGAATGTCAATCGCCCTAGTTTAAATTCTGAGGTACAGGCGTACAGTTCCAAGTTCAAGTTTCAAAAACGTTATTGACTGTGGGATTTTCCATTGGTAACATAATGTATTGTTATGAAGTAATCGAAAGGTAGTAATTTATTTTATTGGGTTGTTAATGGGTATTTGTTAAGATTTGTTTAATTTGGTATCGTCACAATATAGATGTGAGATTGGTTGTGGTGATGATGGTGTAAGGTGAAATCAAATTAAATAAATCTTAATGGTTACTCATTAACAATCCAATGAGTTAATTTGCCACCTCTACTCGAAGATATCATCTTGATTCATGAATACGCTAAATTTAAAATTTTTACCATACCATTTGATTAGTCTAAGCACACACCAAATAATAAGTCGTTTGCAATTCACAACGCATAATGAGTAGTTTGCAATTCATACTTAATATGCTAATATACTAAAAAAAAACCACTTAGTATGACCGAAAAATAAATAATTTATACCTATTAATTGATTTACTATTTTTAATCGATGCAACACATCAAACACATCACGTGATTAGTCCCTCACCGTTGTATACACAAAGATATATGTTTTTTCATAGGATACATTTTGTCCTATGAAAGATAATGACAATGTGACACACCCCAACCTAGAATATCCACTAGGACTCCGAATCGAGCTGTACTGGCCGACACCTGGAAGGTGATAAAGCCATAAAGTGTAGTGATGTGGAAAGTATGAATAAATTTAAACCTAAGTAAATACCAGAGTGCGCTGGTGAGCGGGAATGAACCTATTCACACGTGATGTCAGAGCATAAGTAAAGTACAGTAGAGTAGGTAAGGATTATACCCTCAGAAGTAGCCACCTATACTGAGACTCGCTAAGAATCCTCGTTGATACGAACTTTCAGCAGCTAAAACCTGGAGAGGTGCAAAACAGAAAATGTGAGTAGGCAAAAACAAAGTTTTTGAAAATACATTTCTCTTTTTAAACATAATAACCCCTCACTGTAAAACTCATATAGTTTCCCAGAAAATAATACTACAAACGTAATTAGAAACTATTCTCGAAAGCAATGGAAATCGAGTATATACCATGTCAAGTACCTTAGCTGTAAACATGTAAGTCAGGTGATATAATTTAATGCAAAATGATATGTCAGTTGGAGTCACCTAATATGGCCTATACGGCTGAACCTATAGCTCATCAATCAACTCCTACAAAATAGTCGGAACCACCTAATGTGGTTTGTACGACAAGACTGGGTGTAAATAAGTATGCTCAAGTCTTACGATCACATGAAGATTGTGCGAATAATCGCAGGTCACCTACGTGTCGGAACCACCTAATGTGGTCTGTACGACAGGACTGTGCACCAAACTTAGATCCAAGGTGAACGTGCAGTGCAGGAGGTGAACATCACGTGAAGGACTGTGCCCTAGCCACGGGTGGGAGCACTAACATTGGGGTGCAGGGTAATGAGCACTAAATACAACTAATCATAACCATACACATCGTAATCATTATCATCATGATATACTCACCTGAAACTTACCTGAGCCTCCGCAGCATCAACAAATATTATGCATATGTATACTAATGCATATACTAACATGTAATGTAATTGACATGGCATTTAAAAACGTAAATCCATTTAACACAGTTCTGGGAAAATGTAAAGTATATATATGTGTGTGTGTGTGTGTGTGTGTGTCTATATATATATATATATATATATATATATATATATATATATATATAGAAAACCAAAAGCCCACTCACCTGGAGTCCGCGCTATACTCCCTAGCACGAATGTCAAAATGTCTTGAACGATCGTCGCCTAGAACAAATATCAAACCACGTCTCAGAATCCTTACTAATAGAACACGTAATTTACATAAAACACATCTCCAAGGACGTTCTAGAATGATATGAGACCCGTTGATTAAAAGTCAATCGACGGTAGGGTCCACTACACTACGTAACTCAATCCGAAAGATCCGCATCTTAGATCTTCGATCCGTAACTTCCAAAGATCCACATTATGCTTCTAGAACAACACACTAAAGTTTCATTACGATCTAACGGCTAGATCTCCGCCAATTGCAAATTCAAGTGGCGGTTAACGTTTTATTTTATAAACTTACAAATCCAATTCGGGAAGATCCGTAATTTTCTATGGTCCTCAAATATTACGTACTATAACGTATTAAAGTTTAGTGATGATTCAATGGTTGGATCGTCAATTGTTATAATGTTCAAGTGGCGGAACTTAACAAAATTTCGCCGGATTCTACAGATTTTGCAGATTTTCTGGGCAATCTTTGGAACTCCATATCTTACTTGTTTGTCAACCAAATTTGACCCATAATATACCAAAACAAAGATAGATAGAACAAAATTATACCTGCTTGGAGTCCAAATTGTCGCCGGAAATGGCCTAGAAAATGGCCTGAAAGACAGCTGTCCGCGGGAAAACAGGGAAATTCGCTAGAATTTCTGGGCAACCTTTCAACGTCCATAACTTTGTCAATACTCAACGAAATCAAGTGATTGAAAAACGGAAATCATAGTTCTTGACGAGAGGAAGAGATTGGTATCTTAAAATATGGATATCTCGTCGTGATTTTGCCGTAAAACGCCTTGAAAGTGGCAGAGGTCGCCGGAAACTGGGCAAACTTTGAATCGTTATAACTTTCTCATTTCTCCACCAAATCACACGATCCAAAACATGAAAACTCATCTACACAACATGAGGAATCGATTTATACCTGCTTTTAGTTCAAAAGATGGCTGGGAATTGTCTGAATCACGCCTAAAAGTCTCGGCCCAAAACCTTGTTCTTCGAACTCGAGGTTAGGATTCATTTTCAATGAAACAAGACTCAAAACTGGGTTTATAGTGGTGAAGAAATGCAGATAATGGTGGTTTTGATGTTCAACAAGCCGAAATTTTTGGTGATGATGGTCGTTTGTTTCACGGGAGAAAGGGAGAGCCGAGAGAGAGTTAGAGATAAGAGCTACGGAAGAAGAAGAAAAAGAAAGAGAGAGAGTGTTCCAGAAAAGTGGGGGTGGCCCCACGTGGCACTCATCCAATGGTCAGACAAAATACCACATGTGTTTCAAATGGCAAATTACCAAAATGCCCTCAACGTTTAAAGGTTCATAGAATCTTCGTTATAACTCCGAATTACATTCCGCTTGTTCCCACGTATCCGTACCGACGTGTACTACGAGGATACACCAAGAAAATGAGTCTTATGTGACACGACACAGCAGTCAACAAAAGTCAACGCATTTGCCTCGAAGGGCATTTTCGTAAATTCACTTATTAAAATTATAAAAAACCGTAAAATTGGGAACGGGTCGTTATTCAATGAGAGTGTCCTTTATTTGTGGTGTGTTTAGACTTTGGAGTCGTTTTATCGAGTCCCAACAACAATTCACATACTCGATAACTGTTTTGAACAAGTTGTCTTCGGTCAATTATTTTTTACTAAAGAAGTATTTTCAGTGTGTTTGATAAAAATAAAAATAAATAAAAATAAAAGTCTTTTCAGTGTGAGCAGAAATCTATTTTGTAACATCATGTTTTATTTCCTGAATTGTCATGAATACATCATAGACTTTTAAAGTGGTAGATTTCAACGTTTAATTAGCTATTATCCATCCTCAAAGAAAAAAAGGACGTATCTTCCTTTACGAATCGGAGTAAAACAAAGTATATCCTTCCTTTAGAGGATGAGCACACAAAGATCACTGTTTCACTTATGAATGTCAATTTGTCCAACCTCTTACATTACAAAGATCATATGATCAGGAAAAAAAATACATGACCATGGAAAAGAAAATATAGCTCCACTCATAAAAAATAAACTTAAAAATTAATAAAATGATTGAATACATGACACAACTTAAGAACCATAAAATTTAAAAACTTAATTGAATGACGAATGTAAAACAAAGTATGAAAAGCACAAGTTCCAACCGATTGCCAACCAAAGCAAAACATGCAAATTTAAATCAAAGTTACATTTTTTTGCAACTCAAGTTTACCTCCCCATGTAAATAGGGGCTCTTGATGTTGAAACTAAAGAGGAGCTATCTTGTAACTCCGTTGTGGTACCTTCTTAAAAGTAGCCCAAATCAGATCAACGTACAGTGGAAACTGCGCCATGGCAAAAAAAGTTACCGGCAAGCAAGTGATTGCGTAAACTGGAAACGTAGCGTATTTGAGCTTATCTTTAAGCACAAAAAAATGTCCGGCGCAAAAAGAAACCAACACGGAAGCTATAGACACGAACAGTGACGTCAGCCCTATCAAAAGCTTTCTTGGCAAGTCCTTACCGAAGTCCTTCTCTTGGTACCGGGACGTTAAAATGGCTAGAAACATGACCATGGCCGTGACGGAAAAGCAGAGGGCGACCAAGGAGGCAATGGCGAAAATTTCAAAAGCTGGCTGATTTTCTAGGTTTGGTGTTCCGCTTCTTTCATCGACGCCGCCGGGGACGGTGGTTGAGGTGGCGAAGGCAACGGTGGCAATGAGGGCAGCCACGACGGAGCAGGACTCGGAGGTGTTGGTCAGCCACTCCCCTCCGTCCTTGACGATTGTGGTGTGGGTTTCGGTGAAGATTTCCTTTGCTGTCCTGCCCTTCTTGTTGTGGCGGGCAAAGAAGTGCAGCGGCATGGAGGTTTTTACAAACTACAAATTAGGAAATAATTTGTTTACAATTGGGAAATTTGATTTTCTAACTATTAATTTATGAGAAAATCGGAGGCAGTTGTTCATGAATTATAAATCCTTTATAATTAATCTCTAAATTTGTCATATTGTGGAGCAACTATTCTTTTGGGTAACTTGGTTATTAACTTATGTCCCTTATTTTCCCCTTAAACTTTTATTTGAATGAAAATTTAAACTGTATTTCTCTAAAAGGGTTTCACATTGTGACAAACTCAGGGACCAATATTTACTAATTTTTAGTTTCAAAATCTAAGCTCCAATCAAGTCAAAGTTAGGGACAAATGTCAAATTCTCTTAATTTATTATCATTTTAATCATTTTTCTTTGCCTGAATGAATTTCCGATTCTTTCATCTATAGTTTATTCACTCTCATCTATAATTATCTTGGGGAAATTTTGAAAATAGTAAAGTTGTAGACATATTTAAGAGCCTCAAGATGGCTCAAGGACTGTTCAAGGGGACTTTTAGTGTGACTATATTTCTAAATTTTGTAAAAAGAAAACCTTAAAATGTTAAAAATGTTCTCCAAATTTCGCATAATATGTACTATCTTAATTTTTACAAATAATGCAGCCACTTAGTTCTGCGATCTAGTGATATTCCTCTTTTATTTGTAAGTAAGATGTTCTAAGTTTGATTCTTGCTAAAGGTGAATTCGAATTGAATTATTGTCCATTATGAGACTTAGTCCACTCCTTCCACCCCTTAGTATAGACACTCTCTATAAAGAATACAAAATTTAGATGGTACAAACAATAGTATTTGAGTGATTGTTAAGATAATTCACTATTCGGTTTTCGTCCCTTGTTTGATCATAGTTAGATATTATTACCTAATTTTCTCTTTATGTCGGCAAAAACAGAAATCATTTTAGTTGGTGTGTGAATATATCATAGATAAAATAAAATGGTATGATGAAAATGAAAATATAAAATAAAAATATAAGATTAATCGGTTGATTATTTCAGTTCTTTGAATTTGAATCCTTACCTCATACCATCTGATTTCCCATTGCATTTGTAGCGCAGCTCCAGGAATTAGCCAAGGCTTATGCTCTCCCAACTTTGCTGCTAGATGTAATGCACTATTCCCATCATGATCCACCATACTGAACACACTTTCTTTCAGGATTTTTCTTTTCAGCAAGAGCCTGTACACATGGGGTTGCCTGTGTTCCACCGCCAACAACACTATGTTCTTTTTCTCTAAGTTCATATCGTGTATTGCCACCGGAAAAAGTTCAAGGATCTCCTCCACCATTTCAGTCACCCCATTTTTTGCAGCAATCAGTATTGGCGATTCCCCTCTTGCGCTTGGGGTTTTATTCTCCGCCTTTTGATCTGTTGATGACCCTAGAAATTATCAAGTCATTTGATGTATATATAACAAAGGGGTTTTTTTTTTAACTTCAATTCTGGAAGAAGATTTCAGTCCTTTAACGTGTACTTAATTCAAATTTATATGTCACTTAGTATTATAGTCTAGTGCTATTTCTATTCACTTGTAAAAGATAAATCTTATGTTCGATTCTTGACAAAGACGAATTTCAACCACATATTATTGTTAGCCCATTGTGAGGGTTAACTTAGTCCCCAATTCCTTGTCGATAATATGATTTGTTAAAACAAAATTATATTATATTTTTGTTTTCATATTTAGCGGATATATTATTTAATGTCTCCAAATTAAGTTTTAAATTTATTATTATACATATTTTAATTCATTAATTGTTTAGCTTCCTCTAATTAGTGTACCTAAACGTCCATACCATAATATATTTTACTAATTAGTGCACTAAAATGTCCGTACCTAACATAGTATGATGTATTAGTGGCACATAAGAACATATACAAAACATATAAGTGTACTGAGAAATCTGTACCCACACATATAATAGTAAATTAGTGCACCAAAATGTCCGTACCTAAATATATTACACTAAACAAGTGTACCGAAATGTTCATACTTAAACATAATATATTAAATTAGTTTACCAAAATGTTCGTACCTAAACGTATTGTAATAAATTAGTGGCATATAAGAAAATATGCAAAAAGCACAAGTGTACCAAAAAGTCTCTATCAAAATATTTTCTTGTATAAGATACTTATACTTATAACAAATTGGTGATGCAAAATGTCAACAAATAAAAGCTAAGATATTTTTTTTAACAAACAATATTATCGACGATAAACAGAAGGGGGATGGGCTTAGCCTCATAATGGACTAGCGATAACGTGGTTCAAATTCACATTTGGTGAGAATCGAACCTAAGATCTCTAACTTATAAGTAAAGATGAATACCACCGTAAATTCTAATTAAGCAATTTAAATAGCAATTATACCTTCTGGGATGTTTTCTTTACCATTATTTGGCTTCTCAGCCTCCTGTTGAGGCAATGGGGAAGTGCTACTAGTCACAGTTCCTTGTTCACTGTCGCCCTCGGGGAGCATGAAGATGGCGCGGCCGTCAACAAGTTCATAAGGTTTGGTCTCATCATTGTCTTTGTGGGCCTGCGGATTCATACCACTGTCTTCATACTCATATGATCTAGCTCGTTTTAACAATTCGTTCATGATCTGAACAGACCATTTGTGTTTTTCTTTCTTATCCCTTATCTTTCTTATCTGCGTAGACCCTTTAAACAACATATGATGATTAGATAAAGAAAATTATGTATCTAAATAACAGAGATTAGGAGATAAAATGAAAAGTTCATTACGGATTTATTACCTAAGCCAAGTACAATCAGCATTGCCTTTGATAAAAGCTTGACAGACTCAAAGCAGGTGTTGTAGTTTACGGGAAACTTTTGGTGTCTTTGACCTTCATCAACATTGGATTTTGGCCCTACATGAGTTAGAGTCAATAATCTGCTGTCTGTTTGTATGTCTAGTTTGGTAATTTGCATTTTGATTTAAACTCTAATTTGCTGTCACATGGCAGAGATGAATTGTAATGTTGCTGGCCTATAGCCTTAGCAGCTGTCCTATCTACTGGGGACATTACCCAAATCATGAAAATCCACTCTACCCTTCATTCATATCTTCATTTTTTATAATCTTTAATTCTAGATTCTGATTAGGTTGGAAGCTGGTCTGAATACAAACAGCATATATAAAATTTTCTCGACAAACTAAGATTTCTAAAACCTACACCCTAATTTGCTTCCCTATATTTAGGAGGGTAGGTAAGACAGGTATAGGATTTCTAATGCTATCAAATGTGACAAAATAATAAGGGTTAATTTCAGTTTATTATCCTTAAGTTTCGTAACTTTCAACATTTGATACATGAAGTTTTTTTTCATTTCAGATTCATACCTCAAGCTTTAATTTTGAGACAGTCTCATACATCTGTTAAGCTAATTGTTAATCTGCCATTAACTGGTGATGTGGTGCCCATATAGATAATGACTGAAGGTCACGTGTCATTAAAAGTCCACATAGAAATTCAAAAGAGAAGTGTTATTGACATTCCAAAAATCTCATTTTACACTTCTCCCAAGTGTATTTTTCTTTCTAAATATAGAAAATTTAGAGTGTAAAATGAGAATTTTGGAGTGCAAATAACAATTCCCATTCAAAAACAAATAATAATTAGTTAACAAAAAAAAAAAATAAAACACATTTTTCTTCTCTTCTTGACCCTTTTCCACTCCCCCTCACATCCACCCTTTCTTCTTGTTCTTTGGATTCCCTCACATGCATTTTCACAAGCACTTCCTCTAACCCAATAAATTTGTTTCCTCCATTGCAATTGCTTTCCTCCATCAGCAATTGCTTTCCTTCCTCTAATCCAGCTTTCGTCGGCAAAATCTGACCGTCTAATCACCGTCATAGTCGGCGAGCTCAAAAGAGTACCGACATTTCACGCATGAAATCGGGTTTCTGCCAGATTTTTGGCTCGACCCAGTTGCTTTGAGCTCTGAATCTTCGTAGCAATTGTTGCAGAGCCTTGGATTTTGAAGATAGGTAACCAGGTGAGCTCCAATCTCAAGCATGCTCTTCTTCTTCTTCAACCTTCTAAGAAATCATCAGTTTCCAAATCCTAACCCGCCGCCAAAACCCAGAAACAGATCGTCGACATTCTCTACTTCGAGGTCTCCAGTGTCATGTCCAAGACCGTCCACCTCCACAAGTATCTCACCGACTCCGAGATCTAAAGTTTAAAAACGAGATCTTGAAGTTTAGGAAGAAGATTGCAAGGAATGGAGCGGTAGTTCAACCTTTTCTATCCTCTCAAGATCTCACCTGGAATTGTGGGTTAGGGATTTGGGGTTTTGACTTCTGGCGGACTTGACGGTGGGGGAAATCAAGTTGTTGGGTGTGATCTTTATGTTTGTGAAAATGCAGGTGAGGGAATTCAAAGAACAAGGGAAAAGAAAAATGTATTTAATTTTTTGGGTACAAAGGTGGAGGCCAAAGAAATCCCGCTCATCTCTTCACTCCACGGCCAAATCCCACTCATTGGGTTTTCATCCCTTGTTCTTTCATCGTTGCAACCCGCCAAAACCACCAAAGTTGCATCTCCGTTGCACCTAGATCCGCAGAAGAAATAATTGCAGAAGAGAGAAAAAGGGACAGGGAGAGAGGAAGCAATTATCCCCACCTTTTTTTTTAAGTTTTTAAATTTTGAATTTTGAAATTTTGGTTTTTTTTTTTTTAATTTTTAATATCCACATGGACCCCTTAATGACACGTGGTGCCCAGTCATTGTCCATATGGGCACCACGTCATCCGTTAACGGGAGGCTTCAGTCAGACTAACGAATGTATGACACTGTACCAAAATTAACACTTTAGGTATGACTCTGTGACGAAAAAAAATCTCATGTACTAAATATTGAAAATCACGAAACTTGAAGATAGTAAATTGAGATTTACCCAAATAATAATATTAGTATTGATTCTTGAAGGGACAAAACTTTCCTTATTCAAGGAATAAAGGAAAGTCTCTATCCACCATTATAATATCATTTTACCGTACGAACGTCATAGTTAAGCAAAATTGTTCACATTCTTTAATCATCATCGTCGCTAGAAAAATCTATTCGATTTGGAGGTCGTTTCAAAGAAATTAACAGTTCATCTTGAAGAAGATATTTGTTACATATTTGTCAATTTCTTTTTTATACATATAGATGACTATACGGGCTCTAAATTAAGAGAGTTTTCTAGAATTGATCTTTAGACGATGATAAAGAGAATGAACGGTTTCATTGACATTTGTACAGTGAAAGGGGAGGAGGACTTTTCCCCTTACTAGAATGAGGAAACTATATATATATCTATATATATCCTTCTTGAAGCACCTTATAATAAAGTGTAAATGTAGAAAGGTTACACAACATGCCTTCCTTAGAAGTTACCTGGATTTGAAGTGTTGAGAGTTTGCTTTTTAGGTTCTGCAGGGTTCTCTGGATCTGCTGATTTTGTTTCTTCTTTCTGTACTTGATGGACACTCCCTGTACCTGCTGATTGTGTTTCTTTTCTCTGATTGGCATGGTTTTGAATAACTGCAAAATGAATACTGACTTTTTAGTGGTGAGCATAAGAGAATTACATCGAACTATGAAGATAAAATATTCAAGTCTAAATTATAATCACTTGGCTATGATTATAATTCTATGGTGGCATGAAGTTTGCAGGAGAAATACTCAAACAATTGAGGCATTTTGAGATATTTGATTTTGAATTCCCCTACCGCTGAGAATTGGTGTCCCGAACAACCTAATGAAGTTGATGCATGTATGGTAGTTTTCTGGATATTTGGGATTCTTTTCCTCTTTGAATGTCTTAATTATTCCCTCATTATGTGGATCCCATCGCTCCGCCTTGAGCTCATCAACATAAATACCTTCCAAATTACCAAATATATACAAAGAAGAATGAGTAGGGTGATACATGTAATTATATTTCAATCTTACCAATAATAGTTCTGTATTAGTACTCACAGTAGTAAATAATATTTTGGAATCGGCTGAGGTGGCTACCGCTTTTGAAGGCAGAAGGCTTGGTAGCCAGAAGATGGAGAGGGGAAAAGCCTTCCTCATTGACATATTTAACAAGATCTTCATACAAGTGAATTATCTGAAATGCCAAATCTGTCAACCAACAAGGTACACATTGTTATTTATTTACATATCATAAGGGAATATATAGCTGAGATATGGAAATGATCAAGTTAAGGGATCATTACCAAAGTAGTCCCCGGCAATTGCACAATGCAAGATGGTATCACCATCATTTCTCCTACAATAATTGTAGTTCGGGAGACCATTGGGGCTACAGATGTAGTGCATGCGTAAGAAGGCATTTTTTTTACCATAGGCAGCAGCCAAGAATAGAGGAGTCTCATTGTCTACATTCAGAGCACCGACCAATGATGGATGATCTTTGGCAATGCACGAACACATTGTCTCGTTTCCCATCCATGCTGCGACGTGGAGCGGGGTATTCCCTCGCTCGTTTTTAATTTTAAGCTCCTCTTCAGTAATCAGTTTTACTAGCTTTTCAACATGTTCATCTTGGCCATCGGATACTGCTATGTGTAGTGCTGTGTCACCTGACTTGGTGATTCTTGCCCCACGAGCCTTCTCGTTGAGCTCATAGGTTCTAACAACTTCTTCCCAATTGCTTTGCATGGCAATTCGGAACAAGTATTTCTTAATCTTATCTGGGTCCATACTCTTGAGCTCGCCATCATCTGCGATAGAACCTGCCTCTTTGTTTGAGTTCACGGTAGAAGCCATTTTTTCTCTTCCTGATATGAGTGGCAGTTAACATTGACGTCTGTCTACATATTTATTCTGGCAAATAAACCATGTTTAACTTGTAAATTACTGTAGTTTCCAAAAAGAAGATACTTCTTCTGTGACCACAACTCTACTCTACCCTTTACACTTGCTAAATTACAAAGAAAATTCTCTTCACCCTTTTTCTTTAATTTGTTACTTACCTCCCCTTTACATTTGTTAATCTATACCAACATCAAAAGGTTCACAACAGCTATTCTTTACTCACTTCCATTTTCCCCTTTACACTTGTTACTCTACACCAAAATCAAAAAGTTTACAAAAGCCATTCCATACTCACTTCCCTTTTCGTTTTTCGGTTTCTAGTGGGTGTACAAGATAAAAAAAAGTCATTCTAATGATTTTTCAAGTGCACAAGATGACCCATTGATCTTGATTTTGGAACGACTTTATCCCCTAGCACTGCAAGTATTTGATGCTTCTGAATTTACTTGGCGCACAATTTTCCAAGAGAAGTAACCGTTGGTGCTTCCTTTTCATTTTAATTTCTCTTTTCCTTTAACTATGTCTCAAACTTGATTAACTGTTGGTGCTTCTTTAATTTGTTACTTATCTCCCCTTTACACTTGTTACTCCATACCAACATCAAAAAGTTCACAACAGCTATTCCATACTCACTTCCCTTTTCGTTTTCCGGTTTCCAGCTGTGGACGTACAACATAAGAAAGTCATTCTTATCACCTAACCAAAGATGACCCATTGATCTTGATTTTGGAATTTCTTTATCACCTAGCACTGCAAGTATTGATGCTTCTTGAATTTCTCTGGTGTACAATTTTCCAAGAAGAGAAGTAACTTCGGTGCTTCCCCTTCATTTCTTTTTCTCGTTTCCTTTAACAATGTCTTAAACTTGACTAAATATGCATCGAATTAAAATTTTCCAATTCCCAAACCAGTACGTTGGTGCCTATTTGTGAGTTGAGTTGAATTTTCTTAGTACCAATTATATAGACAAAAAGCAAAACAGCTAGAAAAGAAATCTAGTGCCTGTTGCCAAAAAACCCCCTTAATCGAGCGATTGTTAGGAATGTCGGTACTACAACATAGAGAATGCACAAAGTAAAGTAGAAAATAGACATCAAGAATTTACATGATTCGGCAATTTATGCCTACGTCTACGGAACAACGATCGGTCTTCACTATATGAAAATGATGAGTACAACAAGAGTAGTCTTACCAAGCCAAAGACAAGGCTTGATGAAAACAAGAAAGTATAACACACACTTTGTATTAGGGGTGGGCAAACGAGTCCAGGATCCGCGAGTCGGGGTGGGTACCCGTAATTTGGGCGGGTAAGAGGCGGGTCCAAAATTTCAAAACACAAAACAGGGCAAGCGGGGCTGGTATACGAATTTAGCGAGGCAAGGCAGTTCTTAAAATAGGAGTGGACGGGCCCCCGGCCCGGCCCGTTTCTAGCATGTTCGAGAACCCTAGGCCAACTTCAATCCAAATCTCATAGGGTTTGGGAGGTTCCAGAAACCGGCCATGAACATCATCTCTCCTTCGTTCGCCAAACATCATTTCACCCAGGCCAACTTCAACCCAAACATCATCTCTCCTTCGTTCGCCACCATCATCATCAAACGTCGATCTCTCCCCCGTCCGGCACCATCATCAACCTCTCAGCCTGATTTCTCTCCCTCATTTTCTGAATTTCCTTCTCTCTCTAACCTTTGCAAAACTCTCTTATTTCCACCAAGAAACATCACCCACAACCATCATTTTCCCCGCCAGATTCAAATCGAAACCACCAAAATCAGTTTTTGGGTGGCTTGAAGATCATGTTGTGTGCTTGCATGGAAGATCCGAAGCTGCGACAATAGTAAAAGCTTGAGCCTGAGAACCCTAGGCCAACTCATCGAATTTTGGTGAGTCATTCATCCAAATCCGCACCAATTTGTACATGGTTGAGTTATGTAGTGATGTACGTTGGGATTTGGGATGAAATTTAAGGGTTTTAACCCTTATTTAAGTGGGAATCGGGATTCTTAACCTCTGAATGCCCACGAGCATTTTTCCAGAAACCGATCATGGATTCCGACTGAGTTTCGTCGAGTCCGAAGCCAATTTCAACCCAAATCTTCTTGTTTCCATCATTTCTGGAGGGTTTTGATTTAATTTGGTGAAGGAATAGAGCTTATTCTAACGCTGGACAATTTCTTGATCTCTGTAGAATTCGGTAAGCTCCAGCGATGTCAAAGATCTAAACCAAAAAAAAAAAAAAAAAAAAAAGGACCCATGGACCCGTCCTAAACCGGCCCGTTTGAAACGGGCCGGGTTAGGTTCGGTTCCAGTGATTAGATTTGTAATATCCAGCCCGGCCCAGCCTATTTCCTTTTTAAGCGGGTCCGGTCCGGTCTTTCCAAATTTGGGCCCGACCCAGCCCGTGCCCATTTGTATCACTCTAAACTTCACTCACACAATGTGTAGTGGAACACTCTCACTCTCACTCTTGGAGTGGAACTCTAGCTTTGGACTTGATCCTTTGCTACTCACAATTGGTTACTTGATTACAACACTACACCCATATTTGTAGGTGAGAGCTTGGCATTCTAGTAGTTTCTAGTTCCTTCTACAAACTAGAACTAGTTTCTAGTTTCTAGAATATTCTACCAACCTTTAACTTAGATAATCCTAGACTAGTCACAAAATTGTAGCTTCTAGATCTTTCCATTTGCAACCAGGGAAGCTAGTACTCTCTAGCTTCTTCCATCAACTTAATAACATGCTAGAATTGTCTAGCATACTCCAGCCTAGGGCTGGGCAAACGGGCCCAGGACCCGCGGTTAGGGCCGGGTCCAAGTGAATCGGGGCGGGTACGGGGTGGGTCCTATTTTTAAAAATCTGAAACGGGGCGGGGCGGGGCGGATCCATGTTATTTGCGGGGCAGGACGGGTCGTACTTGCTGAGGAAACGGGTCCCCGACCCGGACCGTTTCCACCTTCCAAACATTTAAGATTTAATCTGATCCGTTGATTAAAATCACGATCGCACGATCGCACTCAAGTCTCTCAGATCAGACTCTCAGACAGTCAGATCAGACTCCCACAGTCGACACTCGAGCTCGACAGTTCCCTTCCCCACCCACTCCCCAAATCGCCTCTCCTCTCTAGTCTCTACTCTCTCGTCTCAGAGTCAGACCTCGATCGCTCCCATCTTTTTCCATCGATTCTCCACCCCTACTGACTCGACTCGACTCGACTCCTTGAGACTCGTAGTGAGTCAGTGACTGTCGACCTCGACTATGTCTGTCGACATTACATCAATCCTCCCCAATCGCGAGTTCCGACCACCACCACACGGTCGACACCAGCCTCGCCGTCGAGAAGACTACCATCATCCTGCAAATTCCTAGGTAATTTATGAATTAGGGTTTCTGATTTGGGAATTTAGGGTTTTTGGGGCTATGATTGCATAAGCTTTTCGATTGATTATATGAACTGCTGCGATTTGATTACTAGCAGAAACTTGTTTATTGGTTTTGAATTTTATGGATCTGCTTATAGATTGTAGATTTTAAGTTGTTTGGTTAAATTTGCAGAAATTTAAGTTGTTTCTTTGTAGATTTTAAGTTGTTTGGTTAAATACTTTGGTATTTAAATTTGCAGAAAATTTTCGAATTGTTACAATTTTTGAACTAAAATTGGTAATTGAAGCTGCAATCTTAATGCATGCAAGCTGCAATCTTAATGCATGTAAGCTAAAATTGTTAATAGCTTCTTCTGGGTTTAAACTTTAAAGAGGTTGTTTTAGACATTTAATTTATGGGTTTTGTTGCTTTGTTTGTTAAGCATGAAGCTCAGAAGCTCTATTCCTAGAGTCTCTCTTTTAAGTTTTTCCTATTTCAATTTTTTTCTGTAGATCTGTTCGAATCTAGGGTTCATACTTCATATATCTATGGCTATGGGTTTCATTAAAATATTGGTTTTGGTTCTGTAATTTACTATAAAGAATATGATTTGGTTCATTAATATAGTTGGGTGCGAATCACATTTGGTTTTCTCATATATAAAGAATATGATTGTCACTTGTCAGGCTCTATACGTTGTTGAAGAAGATTCTGAGTTCGATATTTTGTTGTGCATGTACGGTCCGAAACCAACAAGATTTTCAGTTTTGTGAAGGTCAGCTTTCTTGTGCATGTACATTTACTAACTGACTAATTATTTACTCTTAAATGTTATGCTAAGCAAGCATGCATTAGTTTCCTAAGCACCTTTGACTAGATCTCTATCTATTTTATACATTATTTTTTAAAACCTTGGTAACTACATTTGAAACATGATAATCTTATCTGACCACTTAGCTTAAAACACACATAAGAATGAGAACCGAGGCCTTCTGCCTGCATATATATATATATATAATATAATACATATACATATACATCTCACACACACACACACACACACAATAAGTACTTGGCCAATATTGCAGAAAACAGTTTCTTTAGCAGCTGCATGTTACTGCCCTGCAGGCCCTGCACACGATTTGAATTTTGAAATCTGAATTCTGATTGCATTTACTTGCATTGCTGCATTTCCAAGAATATTATATGCATTTTCTTCATTGTTTGGGAATTGGTTTCAGATTCCGAAGCCACTTATTACTGAGAAAGTTTGGAAATTGGAAGATTTTGAATCATATCCTGCTTGCTTACTGGTGAGTTCTTGGTTTGGAACTTTGGATGGTTATTTTTTGTTTTGGATGGTTATTTTTTGTTTGGATGGTTATTTTTTGTTTGCTTACATATACATCTCACACACACATTACTGCTGCATGTTACTGCTGCATGTTATTTTTATTGGATGGTTACATATACATCTCACACACACATTACTGCTGCATGTTACTGCTGCATTGGATGGTTATTTTTTATTTCTTGGTTTGGTGAGTTCTTGCTTACTGCTGCATGTTACTGCCCTGCACACGATTTGAATTTTGAAGTACATGAGAAAAACTGCAAGTGCATGCATGCTGCTGC